CCCCAAAACCCCAAAACCCCAAAACCCCAAAACCCCATTTTTGATCATTAAATATTTATTTAATAAGTTGCCTAAATCCATGGCTTAGGTTTCTTGGGGTCTAGCTTGCCAGAGTGTTTACAAGACTTTTTTAAGAGCTCATCTTCTTTTTCAGTCGTGTTGAGAGAATTTTCCTCTCATTTAGATTTTTCAGGGATTTCAATGAGCTTTGTAGAGTCCATTTTAGTAGTAGATATGGATTTCTCTTGACTAGTGTCATCATCTTCTCTGAAGCTTCGGTCAGAAGTTCTGGATTTATTTCCCATTCGGTAGATCTTCTTTGTGCTCATACTAGTTCTTGATTGTTTGCTCTGGCTTTTTGCCGTGTGGAACTTGAGAGAGCCAGTATTTTCCTTCCTTTGTTGCCTCGTCATCGCATGTTTATTCTCTTCATGGATAACATCAGATCCTTTTCTACTAGAATACTTGTTACTTTTACTCAACTTTGTGGGTGATTTTATGTTATTCATTTTTTTGGTGAAGCCCATGCTCTTGTTAAGCAATGTGTTCGATTTCATATTACCTGAAGGATCTTTTCCACCTCTCCTACTAATCTCAGCTTCTCTCCTTTGAAGTTTATTATCTCCAGCGGATTTTTGAGGAGAAAACAAAATTGATTCGTTATTTAAAGGACTTCTTGAGGCCCTTACTTCCTTCCCTCTCCGGCTTCTCAACAATTATTTGGGATTCTGAGTATGACATTGACTTTTTAAGCGGAACAGAGCAGTAGTTTGTCACTGACTTTTCATAATCGTCATCATATTTCTCCATTTTATGAATTTTATCTATCTTCTCAGGGTTGTTAAATGAAGTTTGAAGCAACTGTTGAGTCGATTTCTTCAGAATTTCTGTACTTATTATCTCAGAATGCTCCCTTCCGCCAATTTTAGGTTGTTGAACAGCTGCTTTGTTTTTATAACCTCTTCCTTTAGCCTTTTCGGTACTCTCAAGGCCATATAGCTTGAAATCATCAGTTATAGGAGCTTTAGCTTTGGTGTACTCAGACTTATATCGATAGTTAGGTGATGTAACCAACATCTTGCTGTCATTAGAGGTGTTTGAACATTCTCTTGACCCCTTCCTGTACCCAGACCTGTTCTTACGTCCTTTGACAGGAGTATCATGCTTAATATATTGCTCGAGTTTCTTTTTCTCTTCCTTCTCCTTCTTCATCTCTTGGATTTGTTGGACTCTCTCTTGTCTCATTTTTCTTAATTTTTGCTTCTGTTCTTCCACTAGCTTCTGGAGCTTTTTGTTCTCGTTGAGAACTTGTTTGTAGTTCTTCATAGTTGAATCGAGTGGCTTTATTCCTAGAGCTTGCTTCTTTTGTTCAATGAGGTCATCAATTCCTTGAGTGTTCTTCTCATGTTGAGTAGTAGAATCTTTGCGTTGTTGATGTTTCACCGTATCAGTTGACGTTTTAGATGAAGGCTTTGCTAGCTTAGAGTCTTTGCTGTTGGTCCGACTTGATGACTTTTGGCTCTTCATGGTAGGTGATGACACAGCTAGGCTATTCCTCTTTGATTTTATAGAGGTTTTGGTCTCTCCGAGACGAGGAATTTGAGAATTTTTCCTTACATCTTTGGAATTAGGACTCACCAGAGGAGGTTTACCCTTCTTTTGAGTGTAGATGAAGGATTGGTTTTTATTTCCCAATTTCTGCTTCACTCTATTTTCAGACTTATATTTGGTTCCTTTTGCCCCAATAGGCTTAGCATCATTTCTGATCTTCTGAATTTCTTCTTCAAGAGTGTTGAAATCTCCTATCTCACGTTGAAAAGTTTCTTGACTTTCTTCGTTCTTTTGGATTACGATAATAGTTGTTCCAGGACCAAGATCCTTCAGTGCAGACTTTTTCTGTTTTCCCTTAGTTCTGTCCACGCGGCTACGCCTTCTCACTCTTGGATTAGTGGATTGGGGCTTGATCTTTTTCTTCTGTTTCTCAGAAGTGTTACTCATACTCGTATGATTCCTAGATTCTGGAATGCCTTGGTTTGACTTCTTCAAATCTCTTACTGTTTCATTTTGGTTTTTTGCTGTACGATTGCTCTTTTCAGAATCTGGACGAAGTTCAACTGTTATTTCTTGGCTGCCTTTACTCTTAGACTGATTGTTGTATTTTTCTTTATAGAACTTTCCAATGGAGCCTTTCTTAGTGAGCTCATTTGCCATACAGCTAGAGTCGATGCTGACTTGGCAGGAGACCTCCTTGAAGTTTTTATTTTTGTTAAGAATATTTGTGCCAAAGAGATCCCTTAATTTAGTGTTCTCAGCATGTAGCTTTTTACTTTTCTCAAGAAGCACGAATTTTATCGCAATTTCTTTCTTTAGCATCTCTTTAAGGTTAGAGATTTTGGCCTAGAAATGAATATTCTGGTGCTTACTTTGAAGGAATTTAAAAGTCCTAGTTCCTTCTTCTTTTGGGCTTGAAGAAATTGGGTTACTAACATTCTTTCTCTATAGGTGATAGAGTTGCTATCGCTAGAAGATGAGTTTTTCCTCTCATGATTCTTCATGCTTTGGTGGAAGATTTCATCCTGTTCATTCACTGTCTCCAGTTTTATATTTTGGGTCTGCATAGGGGAAATTTCGATTGGTGAATTCATACTGAAACCGAAATCCTCTGTTTTAATGTTACTGAATTCTTTCGAAGACTCGTCCTTTTTCTTTTGTTTCATTTCTTTTATCCTCGCCATAAGTTTAGCAGAAACTTCATCTATTTCACTAGGATTTTCCTCTCCTAATGTATCTGGGTCATTATTATGAAGGTTAAGTGAATTAGAGGCTGACTTTTTGAGGGGAATTCAAGTGTCTCTTGTAACTGTGACTTCTTTACAAGATTCAGAGAATATCATTTCAATGGACTTTTCCTCGTCCTCACCTTCTGTTTTCCCATCTTCCCATTCATGTGAAGATTGGCGTCTATTGTATTCGAAAGTATTCTCGTTATTTTGGTAATCTATTTCTTCGAGATTGTTCACAATACATCCAATGGTGTTTTGGTGAGCTTCTCGTGATTCTGAGTCATCAAGATTTCATTTTCTTGCTTCACAGAACAGATCCTTTTGGGGAGTATCCTCTTGCATGACATGGAGTAGAGTTTTGCTATTACCACTGACTCTTGTTTGCCTTTCAGTGTCCTCTTCTGATTCTGAATTAGAATCAAATAGATTATCAGATTTTTGGAACAGATCAGTATTCTGAGAGGTTTCGGGGAGGTTAAGAAGGTCCTCTTTCATTGGAGAAGAGGGATCTGGAGAATATTCAAACTTCGTCTTTTCTTTTTCTTCCATCCTTGTTTTAAATTATAATACTTTCTACGTAATTGCTTCCCAACGGGGTTTTGGGGTTTTGGGGTTTTGGGGTTTTGGGGTTTTGGGGTTTTGGGG